GGGGTGGGGGTAGTTAGAATAATCTAACTGCATGTGTCTTGTTACAAGCCCTCAACACAGTTAGAATACGTCCCACATACGGAGCGGATCTGCTCCAAAATGATTTTGAAGAATATAGAGGAAATGACAACCAAATTAATCAGAACAAACCTTTTTGAGATTGCATATGCCTTTTATCCCAAAAAATAATCCATATAAAGACGAAAATTCAATTAATTTTCTTAACGTTTCTCTCTTGCTTCAAATTTACCTGCCATGTTTACATTTGGAACTCTCTAGATTGTTCATAGTAAATGCACTGAGTATGAGTTATCGACAGTGTTTCTTTTGCTACATTATGAATACATGGAACGAATTCTATCGTTAAACTGGTTCCGTAGGACAATACCATTTTAATGATAGAACGTTCTATCTAGGGTGAGGGGCTTTGCTTGATTGCCTTGTACTAGTTGCAAATCAGCTACATGTATAATTGCTTTGATTTTGCAAGAAATATCTGTTACATTAAGTTACAAAACTCTTGAAAATTTCTTGCAGAGTGCTATATTTGTACTGTATTTATGAAGAAAGTTTCTTTAGTTAATTCGTAAAATTTTCTTGCACAGAAAAAAGTTCCTTGACATTATTCTTTCGTTTATTAAATGGATAAATATTATTTAATGGATAAATATCTAATTTTTTAAAACTATATTTTGCTAGTGTAAGGGAGATATATAATAAATTTATGATCATAACAGTAGCTTCGTGTCTCATTTGATCTGATGATCCGCACCCGTCAACTTGACATGATACGACCCTACCGATCAAGTTACTGTTACAGTGGAATTCTGTTATTATGATGTTCATTTTTTCACTGTAAAATATCGTAATATCAAGGGCAACGTAATAAAAGTTCCCAATAAAAACCATAAAAAGCTTATTATTACATGTATAGTAATATAATATATTTATTTGTCTTTTAGTTCAGTCAGACAACCTCAAATAGAAAGATAAACTTGAAACTTTTGGAAGAACATGGCTACCAGCCTCACTCAGATAGGAACCAGGAAAAAGTGTTAGATTGGGACAACACCAAACTGGAGTTCTTCATCCAAAAACTGACAGCTGTCTCCAGAAGGATCTACATATGCCCCTCGCTGCTTCTGTTTGTGAATGGGTCCTACCACCCTGTTGGGGGTCTGTGGGACAAAGAGGCTAGGGGGGCCATAAAAGAGTTTTCCCATAACATCCTCAGGGAAAAGCTAGCAAAGAAGATCGACGAAGTGTATGGAAACGAACCATTTGTGGAAGACGTTCATCAGAGGTTCTGTAAGGTTTGCAAATACAAGGAAAGTATGGAGAAATTGGATTTGATTAAACAGTATCAGATGCAGTCGAATGCAAGAATTGCAAAAAGAGTTGTCACCCTTACTAAAGAGAAACTTATTGCTGAACTTGAAAAATTGGACAAAAGCTTGAAAGAGAAGCTTTGCATCATGGAGGAAGATACTGAAGACAATGAAGATAGTGATGTAAAGGAATTGCTTGTGATGTTATGTAAAAAACACAATTTACTTCACAACATAGAAAATACAAGGGAGATAATTCACATCTTGTTCAAGTTTGGATTCAAGTACCATGAAATTGCCCTAGCAGATCCCCGTATTTTTCGAATTACTTATATTAACACTTTTGTACAAGTGTTGTCAGAAATGTGTGAAAATACGAATTTGGATTACGAAAAAATTGGGTCTACAGTGGAAAAAAATAGACCTCGATATGTGGGTAGTGTAATGTTAGCCAGTTCTTTAGAAGTCTCCAAAAAACATGTCCAAGAGATAAGACAACCTTTTAGAACAATCAGAACACACCATTTTTCACGAAATCCCGAAAAAGTGATTGATAATGTGACATTTCTTAAAGAGGCTGGATTTGATCCATATGTTATTCTAAACTGTCTCTTAATTACAAACTTTGACCATAATTCATTGCAGGAAGCATACGTTGATGCTGTGAAGGAATTTGATTCTTATTCTTTGAGTATTGACAGTTCCACTGCAGTGAGGATGAGTTTGCTTTGTCACATGTATCTGGAATTATCCAAGGAGCCAGAGAAACCTGTGGATCTGGATGAGATTGGTGGTGATGTGATAATATCCAAACCGGATCTGGATCTGCATCCGGATGAGGATGATGTGGAGGACGTGGACTATGGTCACCTTTATCTACAATACAGTCATTAAGACTATTATATATACCGTCCACATACTCTGTTTATTATAATTTATGAAAATCTGAGATGGATCTGCATCCAGTTGATATGAAAGACCTGAGGCCTGTTCAACATAGCAAGCATTCCCAAACATTTTGGCGAGTACTAATGAACGTTCTCTCTGTTGAACAGGCCTCTGGTTTTAGGATAACTATAGTTACAATACAGTCAGTAGGACTATAATATATACCATTCACCTGCATTGTATTCCATTTATTTTTACAATTTACTGTGGTTTCATCAATTTTCGTTGGCATCAATTTGGATTTTGTAAAACAGACAGTTTCGAGGATATGTAATTTTGTGGACAAAAGCATTTCCTATACAAATGATTGTCAATTTTTGTAATACAATGAACATTTGAATTCGTTGATCTGCTCAACACAAAATCCACGAAAATTGGTGCTCAACGAATATTGATGAAACCACAGTATATATTCCCGATCTTTTTTAAACACTTTATTAAATGTTTAATGTTGATATATTAATTCTGCAAAAATATGACTTTTTGCATTGCTGTAATTCATACAAATTTTGATTGTGCTAAATTATAATTGCAGCAAATGATCCATGTTCTATATTAAATAAATTTTGATATACAAAGCTGAGCTCACGTGTTGTTTAATTATTCAAATTAAGATTATTATAATTTAAATATATATCTATAACATTTTATAATTGATTACTGAGATAAATAATTTGTTGTTTCCATTATATCTTATGTAGATTTAGTAACACATACTAATTGGAAACAATTTTCTGCAATCTATTGTGTATTTGCCCTTGACTAGCCACATGCTAGCTATGACCTTTTCATCTCAAGATCAGTAGGATACATTTTTAGGGCCATAAGGAATAGGATTATGGTATTAAATTTCAAAAGAAAAACTCAAAGAAAACTGGTCATCATTTGAAAAATGCTATTTGCAATTTATGGATTAATCCCCTTGACTTTTTTAATTCTAATAAAAAAGATATCTCCTTGAGGCCAATTTTAGATGTTTTTAGCTCACCTGAGCCAAAGGCTCAAGTGAGCTTTTCTGATCAAAATTTGTCCGTTGTCTGTCGTCGTCGTCGTAAACTTTTCACATTTTCATCTTCTTCTTAAGAACCACTGGGCCAATTTCAACTAAACTTGCCACAAAGTATTCTTAGGTGAAGGGGATTCAAATTTGTAAAAATAAAGGGCCACGCCCACTTCCAAGGGGAGATAATTATAAATTAGTGAAAAATTAATGGCATTTAAAAAAAATCTTCCTCTCAAGAACCACTGGGCCAAGAGAGCTGAAACTCATGTGGAATCATCCTAAGGTAGTGTAGATTCAAGTTTGTTCAAATCATGACCCCTAGGGCTAGGGTGGGGCCAAAACGGCCGATCAAAATTTTACATATGAATATATTGGAAAAATCTTTAAAAATCTTCTTCTCAAGAACTACTGGGCCAGGAAAGATGACACACATGTGGAAGCATCCTCAGGTAGTGTATATTTAAGTTTGTTCAAACCATGTACCCCGGGGCTAGGGTGGGGCCAAAATGGCGGACCAAAGTTTTACATAGGAATATATTGGGAATATCTTAAAAAATCTTCTACCCAAGAACCACTAGGCCAGAAAGGATGAAACTTATGGGGAATCATTCTCAGGTAGTGAAGATTCAAGTTTGTTTAAATCATGACCCCTGGGGCTAGGGTGTGGCCAAAATGGCCGATCAAATTTTTACATAGGAATATAAAGGAAAAATCTTTAAAAATCATCTTCTCAAGAACCACTGGGCAAGGAAAGATGAAACTCATATGGAAGCATCCTCAGGTAGTGTAGATTCAAATTTGTTCAAATCATGACCCTTGGGGGTAGGGTGGGGCCAAAATGGCCATTCAAAATTTTACATAGGAATATATAGGAAAAATCTTTAAAAATCTTCTTCTCAAGAACCACTGGGCAAGGAAAGATGAAACTCATATGGAAGCATCTCCAGGTAGTGTAGATTCAAATTTGTTCAAATCATGACCCCTGGGGGTAGGGTGGGGCCAAAATGGCCAACCAAAGTTTTATATAGGAATACAAAAGGGAAACCTTTTAAAATCTTCTTTTCAAGTACTTCAAAGCCATGATTAGTGATATTTATATGGAATCATCCACAGAAATGTGTAAATTCTAGTTTGTTCAAATCATGTCCCCATGGATCTTAAAATTCAAGCCTCCCCTCCCCCCCCCTCAGTAAACTTTCAGTTCTGATCTGATATGTGCTTTTTCCTAGCCGATGTTCTCAGGTGAGCCCTGTGGCCCCTGGGCCTCTTGTTAGATGAAGTGTTTAGATACAAAATGTCACTGCAAAAGCTCACAGGCCTTTAAGATAACTTTCAGAAACGAAAGTGCTCCAATCAGACAGAATGCATTAAATTATGAACTTGAACTTCTTTTTTTTTTTTAGATACAATATTAAGGTTTGCCTGTCAATCTTTGTCATTTTGTTTGTAGCAATTTCATTTCAAGACAGTATCTGAATAGGCTTTGCCATTTTCCGATGAAATTTCTACCACTACTCCCATGCCCTAAAGAAATTTCCAAATTCATTTTGAGGTCAAAAGGTGGATGAAAAATTATAAATTGCAAATAACATTTTCCAGATGATAGTTAATTTTCTATAGCTTTTTAAATAAAATCTATTATCACAACTCCCAATGACCTGATGGTTAACAGAAAATTTAAAATCTATTACGTTAAACACTTGGGAATGATAACAAAACAATTTCAGCATTTCATTTTTAATGAAATACACATGGTTATACAAGACATGAACACAAGAATGTTTTTTTTTTTAAAAAAGGATGACTGTCTTTGCACCCTTGTTATGCCCTTCGTAGATGCCTCTTCCACTATAACATTGTGGCCTGCTCTTTGAAGTTTATTTATCACATTAGTGATCCAAAGTTTTCACCTCTGGGGCAGCACAGTCTCTAAGCACACTGTATCTCAGGTTTGATGGCCGGGGTGGGGGTTTCCTCTTTAACGGGGGAAATTTCGGACCCGGTCAGAAGTTGAGCACTAAGTTTAAACAGTTCTTTGTCTGGCATAGGAGGATTGAAAGACTGGTCCAAGTTCTGAAAGAAGAATCAGGATAGTTACTTTAAAGCACTCAAAAATACAGTATACATGTTCAAATGCCATTATTTTTAATTAATTACAAATAAATCAGTAAAAACCTGCAAATATTTACTGTATACAAGGTTTTTTTTTTGCAATTTAACACTTGCTAACAATTTTGCCCCACTTTAAAATTCGCCTATTCACAGTTCTGTTTAAGAAATTATACTGTGTTCTTAAAATTCCCCTTTTAAATTTTCCTACTTGTGACAAGGGCAGAAGGGGCAAAAATAAAATGGAGGCGAAAATTTCCCTGTATACAGTACATGTATAAGCATTCCAAATCTAAGTCAGTCCTCATTTCTAAGTTTATATGTTAGGTTCAATATGGAATACAATTTACCATTTATTTCTCGGACAAGCAATCTTACCGTGTCCACTTTGCAGAGTTTGCGTCGGATTTCCAGGTCCTTCCTGGCACACAGTGCCCTCCTGAAGTTACCAATGTTACGTAGGATGTTAGACTTAGAGGTCAGTGAAGCCGAGCCAGTCTGGACTTTTCTCAGGGAATCCTCTAACTTGAACTTAACCGGCTCTGAGGGTTTAACCTCTTGACCCTGTGACCCTGCAAATGACAAAAACATTATGTAAATCTGTAAACAACAGCAGATTTTCAGAATAGTGGTTTGCTCTATTTATAAGATCCTTCTGAGTTCCATTAAAATTAAGCATAAGTATTTTGAATATAATTAAGCAGAACTACAGCCACCTGCAAATACTTATTTCCACCAAATTTAATAGTCAGATATACAGTAAAATTCGGTTATAACAAAATCACAGGGACCTATAAAATGCTTTATCTATAATTTGTTATATCCATACATGTATAAGGAATATGTCACATTTATACAGCTGGGGATCCAAGATAACTTAGCTATATCTGTGAATTCGTAATATCCATGTTTGTACTAAATGAGTTTTACTAAATAGTAAATTAACTATAGCACAAAACACACAGCTCTTTCTTTTAAGAGTACTAAGTGTTTTTCAGCTTTTAATCCTTGACATGTTTTATAAAAGTATTAAACAAACCTTCAGAGTTTTCCTCTCTTTGTTTCTCTAATTCTTGCTGACAAGAATTTTGGATCTTTTGGAACAATTTGTCTCCAGCAAACTCCCGGGAAACTCCCAGCTTGGCGAAGATGGCCGGTGCCCTGAACCGCTGTAAAGCTGAACCGGTACTGGCTGGTTTAGGTTGAGAGGATTGAACCAGACTGGTCCAGTCAATGTCAACCATGTCCATAATACCTAAAGGAACAAAAAACAAAATTACAAATGGTGTATGTGTTTTTGATTGAGTGAAGGATTTGAAAGCAAACTCACATCATTTTACTTAAAAATGGCAAAATTTAAGTAGTTTTTGAAATACACGTAGATAAGAAGATTAGGTCCATTTTCCTTAACTAAGATCAAGGAAAAATTTTTTGGAGAAAATTGGACTTTCTTGGCATTTTTAAAACATAATCATGAAATACATTGTACTGTGAATGAATTTCTAATATCTTCTAACATTTTTTTGCCACAAAATAGCACTGAATTTATTACTAAGATAAAATTTTGCATATCCTCTATCGGAAAACATTTAACAAGTTTTATTTCCTTTTATTAAACATAATCAACTTTTCTCATGAATTTTAGAGAAGATCAAAATAATGAAGTTTTCTGAATAATGTACAATAATTATAAGAAGAGACAAGAGGCCCACGGGCCTTATAGGTCACCTGAGTATCATGTAACAACTTTCCAGCGATTGTATTTGGTTCGTGTTTTAAGCCAAAAGCCATGAAATTCACGAATTTTGAAAGAGGCACCATTGCTTATCAAAGGGCAGATTTCAAAGCATTAATTTATTTTTAGTCAAAGTACCCCCTTGGTACCCCTGACCCAGCAGCCCTGAAATAATCTATTTTGAAAGAGGACCCTTTCTTCATTATAAGGCCAGCATTTTTTTTTATGTTTAGGTTTAGTTATGAACATGAGAATAAAAAAGTCCCGAAGGAAAAGGAAATGAATTTTTTTGATAAATCAATTATTAACATTTGTACATTCTTTTTTATGCTATCCTAATAGGCTCCTTACCACTGGACATGTAATGCTTAATTACAAATAGGAAAGTAGAACATTTAATTGCTTATTTCATCATCTGCCAGTTTGGGCCAGTTATATAAATTTTGTGATGTTGATCAAAATATATTTTAAAAAATCAATTCTTTAAAATTCTTTCAATACATCTTCATTTTCTTAATATGTGTTAGGTGAATGTGTAGACATTGTTCTAAAATTTACTTGATGCCTAAAATTATAATTCCTATCATTAAAACAGACAGGAAGTATTGGGGAGTAGGGTCAACATTTTTTCAATTAAGTGTAAAATAATTTTTCTGGCTGATACAAATGATACTACATATATTTGTATATTCTTGCCTTTTAACAGTTGAATTTTTTTTTATTTCTTCACTTCAGGTTATTGTTTATTTCTTCCTCAAATGGACTTCACTTCTCCCATAGTTTTATTCATTACATCTGATGCATAAGCAACCATTTTCTGAAGAATGATGCTTAGACTGTAAGCTATAACAGAGACCTAAACAATGTCCCTGGCAATATGCAATAGCTACCACGGCCACGGGCAGTTTAAAACCTGGGGGAGGAAAATAATTTACAGTTACTTTTGAAACGAATACATAATTATCTCACCAGCATGTCATTGTGCAACAAAGTCGTCAGCATTTAATTTGTCCTTTGAACGGGTGAAACGTTTTGAATGGCACTTTAGTCGATGAATTTTACACTAAACCATGCTAAATTCTCGGATCTAGCTTTATTTACCCGCCGTTTCATCTAAAACCGGAAGTGCGAGTTCGTAAATTTGAAATCTCGATCCCGACTCAAATTTGATATCGGAAAGAAAAAAATGTTGTTTTTTTTTCTAAAAGTTCAAAACCTTGAGCGGAGGGTTTGTAAAACTGAAAATAAAATAAATCCTGGCCTTAGATATGTAATTAGATCATTAGCATATTAACCAAGAGCAAAGGATAAGATGTTCAAAGAATTCATACATTTCACTATATAATCATTAGAGCCCCACCCTAAAACAAGAACCCCTGACCCTGGGGCCATAAAATTCACAATTTTGGTAGAGGCACTCTTGCTTATCATAATTATGTACTTAGTTAGTTTATTTAATACCCAGGAGCAGAGAACAAGATTTTCAAAGAATTAATGTATTTTCACTATATAATCAATAGAGCCCCGCCCTAACACCAGAACCCCTGACCCTGGGGCCATAAAATTCACAATTTTGGTAGAGGCACTCTTGCTCATCATAACTATGTACTTAGTTGGTTTATTTAATACCCAGGAGCAGAGAAGAAGATTTTCAAAGAAATAATGCATTTTCACTACCTACTTATTTAGCCCCGCCCTAGCACTAGAACCCCTGACCCCAGGGCCATGAATTTCACAATTTTGGTAGAGGACTCATTGCTGATTACAATCATGCAAACAGTTTGACTGCTTGATGTCCAGGAGTAAAGAAGAAGATTTTTAAAGACTGCACTAATTTTAGTGGTTTTGGCCCCACCCCTCAGGCCCCAGGGGGGCAGGGATCATGAAATTCACAATTTTTGTTCCCCTTCACCCATAGATGCTTTGTACCAAATTTGGTTGAAATTGGTTCAGTGGTTGCAGAGAAGAAGCTGAAAATGTTCAAATGTTAACGCACGACGAACGACGCACGACGAACGACGACGGACGAAAACAGATAGCAATAGGTCACCTGAGTTTACTCAGGTGACCTAAAAAGTAAGACTTACTTGGTTTCTTCTCCTCTTCTCCAATCACGCTGCCTTCCTCACTGGAAATCTCCTCCAATGACAGGTTATCATCAGAATCCTCATCCTCATCTGCAAATCATCATCATCATCACAATCATCATCATCGTAACAATCATCAATACAATCATCATCATGCAATTACTATCATCATCATCATAATCCAAATCATTATCACCTACATATCAAGGTTTTCATCACCAAAACAATGTAACAAAACATGTAAGTCAGTTTTTCTTTAATGTTCCAATTTATTGGTTTTCTTTTAATACTGCCCCAATGTTCACCATTCATTTGTTCTAATTCTGTACAAAAAATTAATGCTTGATATTTTTGATACAGTCTGATCTCTACCTTTAGTTTGTTTTTCCTCCTCTTTAGACTGTAGCTCGGGTTTACTCTCGGAGGTCTCACTTTTGCTTCTCTCTTTTTCTCGAGTTTCAACTGAGCTAGTTCTAGCTCTACTGTAAAAACAAGGACTTCATGAACAAACATAACTATTGAATGAATGTACATCTGAATAGAAGTATTTAGCTTTTTATTTAAAATGACCTCAGTTTTAAAATTATCCTCTGACCTTGACCTCTCCCGACTGCTTTGTCTACTTGACGTCCGAATTTCAGGTGAGCGGTCTCTCCTGCTACGACTCTCTATTGAGCGATCCCTGCGGCTTCTGTCATTCTCTTGAGAACGGTCCCTCCTGCTGCGATCGTTTTCTGCTGACACGTCCCGTCTGCTGCGATCCACTGACGATCGTCTGCTGCGGTTATCTCGGTGGCTGCCTAGACTGCTGCGGCTGTGACTTCTGGGTCGCCGCGGCTGGAGGTGTTCTGGTAGAGCTGACGCAACCTGGAAATAAAGATAGAGCCCCTCAAAGAATACTGGTTTCTAAAAATTTTCTCTGAACAAGATCCTTACTCTTCATTTTCCCATCAAATTAAATATATGCAATGATAGAGTATTTTTAAAAAGACTTAAAGATTGACTCTCAAAAGCAAAGCTCTGTAAACATATCTAAAAGGCCCAATTTGTTTGATAGAAAAAATGCATCTATTTAGCAGTAATAGTAAACCTTTAAGAAAATTTTCTCATTTGGCAATTTACTACAGAAACCCACCTGTTCTTTCTCTTTCTCGGTCACCTCCCCCAGACCAGTTTTAGGGAGGTCCTCTGAATCTTCTGACCAATCGCTGAGCTTGTTATCTAGATGACTGCCCTGAGATTGCTTGCCAACTACAGAAACAGAAATTTACAATGATTTACTGGGCAAAATGAAGCAAGTCTTCAAATATATCTTAAACAGAGGCTGTTTTGGACAATTAGCATAAAAAGAAATGAGAAAATTGACTTGCCTGATTTGCGATCTTCCTCTCGGTTTTTGTCACCTTGTCTTCTGTCATCTGCATTATAAAAATTTTCAACATAAAATTGAGAAAAAATTTGCAAAACCTTGCATTTTGATATCTAGATACAAATATAATTTCTTATCATTATTGAATTAACTAGAAAACTGACCAGTCAGCAAGGGCCCCGCCATGAGGTAGAATTATGAGGGTGCAGTTTATAAAAATATTCAAAAATATATGAAGAATAAGAAACATCAAATGTATTCTTAAAATTTCAAGATAATTCCCAAATATGCAAAAACCTGTAAATAATATCCTTGTATTTACATATATAAGGCAGTAAACTGAGTAAAGAACAACTCAGCATTGAATGTATATTAAAACAATATAAATGAAGCTTAATTGTGTTATATATAAAAATATGCCAGCCTTCAATAAATGCAAATACATATCATGAAGGCTTGACCTTAACTTCAAAACAAACAGCAGTTGCAGACAAAGGTTTTCATTAATCTTAAAGTGACAGATACAGATAAGCCTTCTAAATTTTATGTAGAAGGCTAGATAATTAATCCCAAGGGATTATTATTCTCTCTCATCATTTTCTTCTAAATTTACAATAAGAACTTTTTCAGTAATGATGGAAAGAGGTTTTTATCCTACTACACTGAAAATTAATAATATTCTTAGATTAACTTTAAAAAAAAAATAAATAAAAAATAAAAGAAATACATTTACTTTAATCTATTTCTTGTTTTTATAATTCAATGAAATCAGAACTCATTGTGTAGGGTATTCCAACAAATATAAAGTATTTAACATTTAGCATTCCAAACTGACTTAACTTCAAACAAACTTCATATGCAGACAGAGGTGGTAATTAATCTCAATGTGACAGATAAAGATAATGCTTTGGATTTTCTTCAGGAGGAGAGCTAATCAATCCCAAGGGACTCATTGCAGCATTCAATTTACAATGGGAACATTTTAAGAAGTTATCTCTCTTTGCCAATTCATTCTTATATAAAGTTAAGGAATCTACCCCACCACCCCAGCTCCAAACCAGAGGACATAGGAAAACAAACTTGGCATCAAAATATGTCTTTCTGCCTACTGAACTACCATACCAAATTTGAACTTAATTGGACTACCATAAAAAAACTTGCCATTTCAAAAAAAAAATATAAGATGTAATAGTATTGCTTTCCATTGTCAAGAAGCTACAGAATTGTTAATCTCCATAAAGAAATAAATTTCCTTACCATCTCGATTTGTTTTCCTTTTCTTCCTCCTGTCTCTGTCTTTCTCATCTCTGCCCTCAGGTGACCTTGACCTTTTGGACACTCTTGACCTTCTGTCTTCCTCCACAGAGAATGGCTGTAAAAATAAAATTTGCAGACATAAAAACATCATTATGACCTTAGAAAAGCAAATTTGTGATGTAACTATGAACCATTACTGCATATTTTACATTTGTTTTCTTACACTAGAGGCGTGTCTCTCCCTCCCCCCTGTTTTATTAGCGAGTACTTACACTAGAGGCGTGTCTCTCCCTCCCTCGTTTTATTAGTGAGTACTTACACTAGAGGCGTGTCTCTCCCTCCCCCCTGTTTTATTAGTGTGTACTTACACTAGAGGCGTGTCTCTCCCTCCCCCCTGTTTTATTAGTGAGTACTTACACTAGAGGCGTGTCTCTCCCTCCCCCCGTTTTCTTAGTGAGTGTTTACACTAGAGGCGTGTCTCTCCCTCCCCCCTGTTTTATTAGTGAGTACTTACACTAGAGGCGTGTCTCTCCCTCCCCCCATTTTATTAGTGTGTACTTACACTAGAGGCGTGTCTCTCCCTCCCCCCTGTTTTATTAGCGAGTACTTACACTAGAGGCGTGTCTCTCCCTCCCCCCTGTTTTATTAGTGAGTACTTACACTAGAGGCGTGTCTCTCCCTCCCCCCTGTTTTATTAGTGAGTACTTACACTAGAGGCGTGTCTCTCCCTCCCCCCTGTTTTATTAGTGTGTACTTACACTAGAGGCCTGTCTCTCCCTCCCCCCTGTTTTATTAGCGAGTACTTACACTAGAGGCGTGTCTCTCCCTCCCCCTGTTTTATTAGCGAGTACTTACACTAGAGGCCTGTCTCTCCCTCCCCCCACTTTTATTAGTGAGTACTTACACTAGAGGCGTGTCTCTCCCTCCCCCCTGTTTTATTAGTGAGTACTTACACTAGAGGCGTGTCTTTTCCTTCCCCCTGTTTTATTAGTGAGTACTTACACTAGAGGCGTGTCTCTCCCTGCCCCCTGTTTTATTAGCGAGTACTTACACTAGAGGCGTGTCTCTCCCTCCCCCCTGTTTTATTAGCGAGTACTTACACTAGAGGCGTGTCTCTCCCTCCCCCCTGTTTCATTAGTGTGTACTTACACTAGAGGCATGTCTCCCCCTCCCCCCTGTTTTATTAGTGAGTACTTACACTAGAGGCCTGTCTCTCCCTCCCCCTGTTTTATTAGCGAGTACTTACACTAGAGGCATGTCTCTCCCTCCCCCCTGTTTTATTAGTGAGTACTTACACTAGAGGCGTGTCTCTCCCTCCCCCCGTTTTATTAGTGTGTACTTACACTAGAGGCGTGTCTCTCCCTCCCCCCTGTTTTATTAGCGAGTACTTACACTAGAGGCGTGTCTCTCCCTCCCCCCTGTTTTATTAGTGAGTACTTACACTAGAGGCGTGTCTCTCCCTCCCCCCTGTTTTAATAGTGAGTACTTACACTAGAGGCGTGTCTCTCCCTCCCCCTGTTTTATTAGTGAGTACTTACACTAGAGGCGTGTCTCTCCCTTCCCCCCGTTTTATTAGTGAGTACTTACACTAGAGGCGTGTCTCTCCCTCCCCCCTGTTTTATTAGCGAGTACTTACACTAGAGGCGTGTCTCTCCCTCCCCCCTGTTTTATTAGTGTGTACTTACACTAGAGGCCTGTCTCTCCCTCCCCCCTGTTTTATTAGTGAGTACTTACACTAGAGGCCTGTCTCTCCCTCCCCCCTGTTTTATTAGCGAGTACTTACACTAGAGGCGTGTCTCTTACACTAGAGGCGTGTCTCTCCCTCCCCCCTGTTTTATTAGTGAGTACTTACACTAGAGGCGTGTCTCTCCCTCCCCCCTGTTTTATTAGCGAGTACTTACACTAGAGGCGTGTCTCTCCCTCCCCCCTGTTTTATTAGCGAGTACTTACACTAGAGGCGTGTCTCTCCCTCCCCCCTGTTTTATTAGTGAGTACTTACACTAGAGGCGTGTCTTTTCCTTCCCCCTGTTTTATTAGTGTGTACTTACACTAGAGGCGTGTCTCTCCCTCCCCCCTGCTTTATTAGGGAGTACTTACACTAGAGGCGTGTCTCTCCCTCCCCCTGTTTTATTAGCGAGTACTTACACTAGAGGCGTGTCTCTCCCTCCCCCGTTTTATTAGCGAGTACTTACACTAGAGGCGTGTCTCTCCCTCCCCCCTGTTTTATTAGTGAGTACTTACACTAGAGGCGTGTCTCTCCCTCCCCCCGTTTTATTAGTGTGTACTTACACTAGAGGCGTGTCTCTCCCTCCCCCTGTTTATTAGTGAGTACTTACACTAGAGGCATGTCTCTTCCTCCCCCCGTTTTATTAGTGTGTACTTACACTAGAGGCGTGTCTCTCCCTCCCCCCGTTTTATTAGTGTGTACTTACACTAGAGGCGTGTCTCTCCCTCCCCCTGTTTTATTAGTGAGTACTTACACTACAGGCGTGTCTCTCCCTCCCCCGTTTTATTAGTGTGTACTTACACTAGTGTCGTGTCTCTCCCTTCCCCCTGTTTTATTAGCGAGTACTTACACTAGAGGCGTGTCTCTCCCTCCCCCCTGTTTTATTAGCGAGTACTTACACTAGAGGCGTGTCTCTCCCTCCCCCCTGTTTTATTAGCGAGTACTTACACTAGAGTCGTGTCTCTCCCTCCCCCTGTTTTATTAGCGAGTACTTACACTAGAGGCCTGTCTCTCCCTCCCCCCAGTTTTATTAGTGAGTACTTAAACTAGAGGCGTGTCTCTCCGTCCACCCTGTTTTATTAGTGAGTACTTACACTAGAGGCGTGTCTCTCCCTCCCCCCTGTTTTATTAGTGTGTACTTACACTAGAGGCGTGTCTCTCCGTCCACCCTGTTTTATCAGTGAGTACTTACACTAGAGGCGTGTCTCTCCCTCCCCCCGGTTTTATTAGTGTGTACTTACACTAGAGGCGTGTCTCTCCGTCCACCCTGTTTTATCAGTGAGTACTTACACTAGAGGCGTGTCTCTCTCTCCCCCTCCTGTCTGACTTTTCACTCCCCCTGTCCCATTCTCGGCCTCTTTTATCTTCCTCCTCCACCTCCTCTTTAGTGGGTGGCTTCTCTGCAGGAACAATGCTAGCCTTACTCCTACAACAAAGGAATTGATTCACAGTGGTATGAATTTTATTTTTTGTAAAATGTATGTTACAAGTAAACCCTCTTACCAAAAGTTGAATTCTTCATATTTTCTTCATTCCAGTAAATAATCAAAAGGGATTCACAGTGGTATGAATTTTATTTTTCATACAGTGCATGTTAAAAGCAGATCCTCTTACAGAAAGTTAAATTTCTCAACATTTCCTTAATTCCAGTAAATAATCAAAATATGGAAAGTCATAAGCTTTTATGACTCAAAAACTTACTTCATATTTGAGTTATGCAGGGGCAGGACAACCAATACCTTAGCTGCAATAATGTAGCCCTCTCCGAATTTTTTTATCTGATGTTTTCTGGAGAGGGCTACAATTCCATCGTATCTCCGTAATGATGCAAATATATTTTTTTAAATTCGGGCGAATGAAGGCAAAATAAATTATTTTTACATTCAACTTACTTCTTATAAGACGGAATTTTTATTCACTGTCAACAATATAGCCCTCTAAACTCGAAAACCATGTAAAATATATCTGCATGTTTACCAGCAGCAGCCATGACAGTTCATGCGTAACGTACTGAGACTTTGGCTTGAAATTTAGAACAACTATAAAAAGCAAAATGTCCCCAAAAAAAAAATTGGAGAGGGCTATATCATTGCAGCTACCAATACCTTTGTTTTGGACAAATAATCACAGCATTATTTTACAAAGTCATTTCTATTTTTTATTGATTTTTTAATATATCTGCAAATCCTGCTTTTTAAGCATTCTGGTACCAGTGGACTATTGGTGAGTACTATTTACCTGTGAGACAGAGCAGGGGAGATAATTTACCTGTGAGACAGAGCGGGGGAGACCTCCCTCTTGCTGCGGTGAGACTCTGTGGGAGACACCTCCCTGACCCTCTTTGTGGACGGCGTGGGGGATACAGCAGCTTCCCTCGTCTTTGGTGAGGGTGAAACTGACCGATCCTTGTTGTCATCATAGCCCCGTTTTCTGCAAGAAATTAGGTTACAATATCTACTACTCTTGGCCAACTCTTTTTTTTTAGCATATTTTAAAACTCTTATTCTCAAAATAAATTTTTAAAATCATATTTTGCAAGCTTTTTAAAACACTATAACATCTTAAATGAATCTTATACTGTGAAATCACAAATTTCTGTGGTGGTTTAATTTTCATTGTTTTCGAGGTATATAGAGATCCACGAATTCATGTCCATCAGGAAATGTTAAATGTTACATACAAAACTACTCAACAACTCTTTATCCACGAAATCAAATCCCCGTGTACCAGCACTAATTCTCTAACCACGAACATTTGACATTACGAAAATATGTGATTTTACGGTTTTAGAATTTAACATCTTCTACGACTATGAGCCACCTACTCCATCCTTCCTGCTCAGTTAATCAACTGTAACTGCCCCGTTACATTTTACTGTTAACTCCACCCCCTCCCCCTTATCTGATAATTACCGTAGTTTGGGGAATATAATACGCACTTTTTTCCTAAAATAAATTTCTGTGAGAAAGGGGTGCATATTTTACATCACAATGGGATTCTGATAAGTTTTTCTTTCAGGTGAAACACGGCTATCATACGTACATACCGTAGTATTACCAAGAGACATATGCAACTTCTTTTGTTTATCGTCATATTTTAAACTTTGGAAAGGTATTGTTGGAAGATATGCTTGTTAAAAATAACACTTCCATAATATTTTGATACTAAAATGACATGAAAAAGCAAGTTGAAATTAATTTGAGCTCCAGGTTTATCGTCTCCGTGTAGGCCGCCATTACAGATGCTATTTTAAGACGTTAACTCATTCCTTTGTCACGTGCTTCCGTAATCATAGTACATATGCACCTTATCTGTCTGACAAAGTAATAAGTCATTTTTTAATGAAATACAATAAAATAAAAATTTTATTTTAGTTTTTAAATAACTCAGTGAAAGTTCACTGCAACACAAACACCCCTCTATACGTCCCAATGAAAGGAAGCCAATGTTGTGACACACGTGCGCTGGTCAAATGATAATTACCTATCAACACCCCTCCAGGCAATTAATTGTCTACCGACTTCAAAGCAATGTTTATACAGTTATAGCAATGATTATTTTCACAGTCCTTTTAACATGTTTAATGTCTTTGATTATTTTCTTTGTTAAAAAGCGGGAGTCGGTTTGTAACCTTTCGTATGCGTGATCGTGTGTCGATTACGACACATTAAACAATTAAACACTTGTTAAATGTAATTTTACCTTATAACTTATCGAACCCTTGTTTAAATAATTGAGAGTTAACAAATTAAATATAAAGTATGCTAAAACTTAAGTGTTATCATTTATTCGTGCTCTGTAGAAAATAAAATATCCGCGACGATTCAGAAAAGGAAAATCGTTACGTAGTCTTCTTAATTTTTAAAATACTTTGATGTTTCAATTTCGTTTTTCAGCATGATTACCAGTAGAACCAAAATTAAATATAACAACTGTTAAAATTTGCAACAATATCTCATGCTTTGTTGAAATAAAATTGATTCACCAAAGAATTATATGGTGACGTATATATTACGTTTTTTCAAAATCACCGTATGCTTAAAAAATAAATTCTGTTAACACTTTTACGCAATATTATCTTGTGCTTTGTTGAAATCAATAAATAAATAAATAATGTTCTCCATATTGCCGCGGTATGGAAATTGCAGATTAAGAAAAAAATATAATGTATTTGAAAGAATGTGTGTTCTGTAAATTTTTGACACTTAATCTTCGCGCCGATTTTCGTTACAAATTACCGCGATTTTCAAAGTTCAGAACATCGCTCGGTAAAATTTTCCCAAATTCCAGACGCAAAAACGGGGGTGCGTATTTTACATCAATGCGTATTATACTCAGCCAAATACGGTACCTGCTTTCCTTCCTTGGTTCTGCCTTCTCTTTCCTCTCTCTGTTATCCTCCGTTTTTTCCTCCTCTTTCGACTTTTCCTTGTGAGACTTCTTAGTTTTCTTATCTTTCTTTTTAGTCTTGAAGAAAACAGTTTTTGATGTATAAAACACACATTCTAATACTTTGAAATTATAAAATTTTAACTTCAAATTGATAAATGTAAGTAATTTTAAAATATTGAACAAATTATAAACTTTATCTAATAAAGTAAACTATACCGGTGTAGGATCTCTTCTCTCCCTTGATGTTTTATCTCTCCCCTGATTCTCGGCTTCTCTCCTCCCCTCTCCTCTCCTTCCCCCCTCCGTCGATCACCCTCCTTATCTCCTGCTGGCCTCTCAGGTGACTCCTCCCACTTCTTGTCATGTGACCTCTCCCTCAGCTTATCAGGTGAGCCCTCAGCTGGCTTCTCAACTGACCCCTCTTTCCGTCTGGCAGCACTTGTCCCTCTACTCTTCTCCTCCCCCCTTCGTCTCTCCTCCCTTTTTGTATCCATCGACCTGTCCCTCTTTCTATCACCCCCCTCCTCCTTTCTTCTGTCTCCCTCCTCCCGGAACTTCTCTTTTGACTCCGCCCTCTGCTGATCATATGACCCCGCTTGCTGCCTGTCCGGTGATGTCTCCCTCCTGCGATCCCTAGAGTTCTCTCCTTTTCTGTCCTGGGACATGTCCTGTCTTCTGTCCGGTGACCCCCCTCTTCGCCTGTCATATTCTGCCCTGCCTGGGGGCTCACCTTTGTCTCGGTCTTGCCTGTCTGACCTTTCTTCCATATAGCGATCTCGCTTGGATCTGTCGTCATTTCTTCTATCATCACCTTTTCTGTCATACCGGCTGCTAAATATTAAAGTACATTACAAACTGAATAGATTTATATTGTTCCATGCCTTCTTTTTATTATAGTCAAACATCCTGATCTTAATCTCAATGGAGCGAGGAAAACAAGAGGCCCATGGGCCACAACGCTCACCTGAGCATCTTTGGTCCGCCATTTTGGCCCCAACCTACCCCAGGGGTCATGATTTGAACAAACTTGAATCTACACTACCTGAGGATGCTTCCACATAAATACGATCAATTATGGCTTGGCTATTCTTGAGAAGAAGATTTTTAAAGAATTTTCTTATATATTTCTATGTAACACTTTAGTCAGCCATTGTGGCCACGCCCTACCCCCCGGGGGTCATGATTTGAACAAACTTGAATCTACACTACCTGAGGATGCTTCCATATAAATATGATGAATTATGGCTTGGCAATTCTTGAAAAGAAAATTTTTAAAGAATTTTCCTATATATTTCAATGTAAAACTTTGGTCGGCCATTTTGGCCCCAACCTACCCCTGGGGGTCATGATTCGAACAAACTTGAATCTACACTACCTGAGGATGCTTCCATGTAAATATGATCAATCATGGCTTGGCTGTTCATGAGAAGGAGATTTTTAAAGAATTTTCTTATATATTTCTATGTAAAACTTTGGTCCGCCATTTTGGCCCCAACCTACCCCAGGGGTCATGATTTGAACAAACTTGAATCTACACTACCTGAGGATGCTTCCATGTAAATATGATCAATTATGGCTTGGCTATTCATGAGAAGAAGATTTTTAAAGAATTTTCTTATATATTTCTATGTAACACTTTAGTCAGCCATTGTGGCCCCGCCCTATCCCCGGGGGTCATGATTTGAACAAACTTGAATCTACACTACCTGAGGATGCTTCCACATAAATATGATCAATTATGGCTTGGTTATTCTTGAGAAGAAGATTTTTAAAGAATATTCCTATATATTTCTATGTAAAACTTTGGTCGGCCATTGTGGCCACGCCCTACCCCTGGGGGTCATGATTTGAACAAACTTGAATCTACACTACCTGAGGATGCTTCCATATAAATATGATGAATTATGGCTTTGTCATTCTTGAGAAGAAGATTTTTAAAGAATATTCCTATATATTTCTATGTAAAACTTTGGTCGGCCATTTTGGCCCCGCCCTACCCCCGGGGTCATGATTTGAACAAACTTGAATCCATACTACCTAAGGATGCTTCCCTATAAGTTTCATCTTTCCTGGCACAGTGGTTCTTGAGAAGAAGATTTTCAAAGCATACCACCAAATTTTCATTAATTCCCAATTATCTCCCCTTGAATGAGGGCGTGGCCCTTCATTTGAACAAACTTGAATCCCATTCACCCAAGGATGCCTTGTGGCAAGTTTGGTTGAAATTGGCCCAGGGGTTCTTGAGAAGAAGTTGAAAATGTGAAAAGTTTACAGACAGACAGACTGACAGCTAGACAGACAGACGGACAGACAGACAGACGGACGCCGGACAAAATGTGATCAGAAAAGCTCACTTGAGCCTTCGGCTCAGGTGAGCTAAAAACTTTAATGTGATAGTACTTGAAAACATGAAGTAACCCCTTCAAATTCCCTCACATTTAGACCTCTTTTGGTCTTTGAAGAATCAAGATATCAAGATAAAACACTCAAAGAATAATTGCTTGGGACTTCCAAATCACTTTCACATATCTATGGTATTTGAGATATTGGTGTTTGAGATACTAAATTTCAACTCTACATAGCCAAAGAAAGTTTCACGTATGACTGAATCACACCCCTCACCTTTCCCTGTATCGGTCATCCGGTCTGTCCATAAAGCGGTCATCCTCCCGGGGTGGGGGCTGGTAGTCCCTCCTCTCCTCATGACGGTCCCAGTCCCTCCTGTCTGGGGGGTAGAACTCCTCCCGGGGGTCCTGCCTGTCCCACTCCCCCCTCTCTGGTCTCACATCCCGCGGGGAATCAAATCTGGCAGCTAAAGGAATCAGTCATTGTTTATTACAACTGTACTATGAGGAAAATTGTGTATACTTATTTAAAATTAGGAAATAATTTTTTTTTATTTTATTTGGATGAATATACTATGAATGGAATGGAAAAGTGAAAGTAAGTTCTATCAACATGTGTTTTCCTTACATAATCTTCAGCAAGTAACATAGATAAAACTCAAAAGAAATTTTTTTGAAATTCTAGCTTGTTCAACCAGTAATTAAGTTTTTAACATTATAGCATAACAAGAGGCCCATGGGCCACATCGCTCACCTGAGAAGCTTTGACTATTCTGTTCTTTACCAGATTTCCCCCTTGTAATACATTATGTATCCCAACCCTACCCCACTGATCATAATTAAGACATTTTGAAATCAACTACCCCAGGATCCTTCCATGTGCAAATAAGTTTCAGCTTTTCTGGCCCAGTGGTTCTTGAGAAGATTTTCAAAGATTTTTCCTATATATTTTTATGTAAAACTTTGATCCCCCCATTGTGGCTACACCCTTCTCCTGGGGGTCATGATTTGAACAATTTAGAATCTACACTACCCAAGAATGCTTCCACATAAGTTTCAACTTTTCTGGCCCAGTGGTTCTTGAGAAGAAGATTTTCCAAGATTTTTCCTATATATTTTTATGTAAAACTTTGATTCCCCATTGTGGCCCCACCCTTCCCCCAGGGGTCATGATTTTTACAATTTAGAATCTACACTATCCCAGGATGCTTCTACATAAGTTTCAGCTTTTCTGGCCCAGTAGTTCTTGAGAAGAAGATTTTCAAAGATTTTTCCTATATATTTGTATGTAAAACTTTGTTTTCCTATTGTGGCCCTGCCCTTCCCCCGGGGGTCATGATTTGAACAATTTAATATCTACACTACCCTAGGATGCTTTCACATAAGTTTCAGCTTTTCTGGCCCAGTGGTTCTTGAGAAGAAGATTTTTTAATGACCCCACCCTATTTTTGTCTTTTCTTGATTATCTCCCCTTGCGAGGGGATATGTCCCTTCATTTAAATTCCCCTTTACCCAAGGATGCTTTGTACCAAGTTTGGTCAAAATTGGCCCAGTAGTTCTTGAGAAGAAGTCGAAAATGTGAAAAGTTTACAGACGGACAGCTAGACAGCTAGACGGACGGACGACGGACAAAATGTGATCAGAAAAGCTCACTTGAGCCTTCGGCTCAGGTGAGCTAAAAATTTATCTAAACAAAACAACAGGGTTTTTTTCACTCCAAATATCATGCTGTGCCGTGTCCAAAAGGTATAAAATCCTACATGTATGGCTTTTACCATGAGTTTGACAAGCATGAACTTCGTTTCTGCTATTTAATTTAATATTGTCTATATGGATATAGATTTACATCAATATAACCCTTTAACTCTGATTTTAGACACAAAAATTATTTTATAACACTTATCATAATTATTCAGAACCTTCTGTTTGAAGAAAACTGTCTACTTAAATTCTTTTTAAAATCAAGTTGTTCAAAAATCTTCCAATGGAAGCAATTTTTTTCATAAAGTTTAAAAAACTGAAGCAAATGGATTTTCAATTCAAAAACATTGAAACTCAGTTTCTAACCTGTGAAAAAAAAAATCATTGGTGTTACATTTTATATATTTCAAGTTAAACTTAATTAAACAAAATTACCTGATTAATACATGTTTGATCAAAATGAGTGAATAATGAAAGAATTAATATTTTTAATGCACACTTGTATATAACATGCAAGAATCTTTTAGTTAAAATTCTAAAATATAACTTAATGCTCAAAATGAAGATAAATCTGTGATAAGCAAAAACAAAGTGCTCCAAAAATAGAATGTGCACAGAGGCTGAAATATTTAATTTCTAATTAAAATTGATTATATATCACCAAAAGAAAAATAAATGCATTTTAAGATTTCTGTTTTTTTGTAGGTCAAACTGAAACATAAGTTGCGAATGTTAGGAGAGGGAGCAAATGTTGAACTCTTGACCTTTGACCTGTAAAAATGGAGGTCACAAACCTGGGATGGGGGGTCCATAGTCTGGGAATCTCTCGGAGGGGCGGTAGCCTCGGTCAGGGCCTACAAGCATACAATGTTAGTATCAAACAATCCGTTACACATGAACGGCCACATGTCACACATCAATGAACACTGCCTCAGCATGCAAATGAGTTGCCATAGCAATACACCATGCTCCTGAAAATCTATTTTCTCTGAAAAATTGTTAATTATAAGCTAAAAGTGCTTGTAGCAGGATGAAAAAATTATTTTAAATAAAATGAAGTTTTGCTTGGTGCTGTCGAGAATTGGTCTGACAAACCTCGAAAACTAAATTGGGTAGCTTCATGTTAAACTGCTTTGAAATATGAAAATGTTGAAATTCACAACCAAGAAATGAACGCTGGTTGGAAGCATCTCAAACGAATACCATACAAATACTGCATAAACTCTCTCCCATTGGACAAATGGTAAAAGATTTTGAAATGTGGTCTAGGAAATAAAGAGTCTGATGTGCTTTAAAATTCAAATGCTATCCTTTTTTACATGTATGCTTGCAAAAACAAAAAGAAGCTTATTTGATTAAATTTTAAGAAGTGCATGCTCTAATAAAACAAAATCCAAGCTATCAAAATCTATTGAAAGTAACATAACCATGAAAAATATGATGCATTGTGGAATAAAATTCATCCTATAAATTGCATAGCTGATATCTGCACAATAAACTCTCTTCTTAAGAAACAGACCCCGCTTACCCATCAGAGGTGGTGGTTGTTGTTGGGGGGTGCGGTTCCTGGAAGCCGGCGGTGGCCAGTTACCACCTCGGCGGTTCTGTTCCCAGGTGTAATCAGCAGGGGCTGGGCCTCTGTTATCATAAAGATCCCTGCCTCCTATTAAAAGAACACAACAATGCATGTTACCAAGTCTTCAAGTGAAATACATGTATACCAGTGAAACAAAACTTCTGTTAATGCCATATCTATCAAATTCTTCCAAGAATCGATAAGTATCTGAATTCCACAAAAATTCTTTTATTTTCTTTATTTATTATTTGTTGAATATTCTTGACATAAATGAACTCTGACAAAGGCACAAAATTTACAAAATGCTAGGATTCAAACATTTTATGCAGATGTAGTTCAGACAAGAATTACATGTTTGGCTGTGTCAATTACATCTACACAAATACATATTTTAGTGACAACTAGAAACTTTCTCATGAACAGCTGCATCAAGATATGAATTGATATAATGGTAATTTTTGCAGTAAATTATCAGGACTCTACTACCAACACCTGTATTAAGTGTACCCACCTTCGTATCGGGAACTCCTGGGGTCAGACCTCTGGTCCCTGGACCCGTACCTCTCCCTGTCCCTGGGGTACCTGTCTCTCTCATATGCCTCCGCTTGGGACACAAGTTTCTCTCTCTCGTACCCCTCTGGGGGGCCTCTCTTGTCTCTGTCGAATCTTTCGGAGGGAGGCCCCCTCCTGTCCCTCTCATAAGATTCTGGTGGAAGGGGTCCACCTCTCTGGCTGTAAGGGCCTCTCCCTCGGTCTCTAATGTCCTCTGGGTGGGAGGGAGGGGGAGGAGGGAAATGCTCGTCATAGGGGTCTCTGCCTCTCTCCATGTATCTACTTCGGCTGAAAAGATTTTAATAAAGGTAACTTTTAAATATGTCATTACATTTAATCAAAGAAAAGTTATTTTTCCATCTTCATCTTGTTTTTCATTCAAAAGAAAGCAAACATACTTTTGATCATTGTAGGCTTCTCATTATATTAATACAGTTTTAAGCACACTCACCTGTCTGACCTTCCTCCCTCAAACTCAGCCCTGGGGGGTGGATCATGACCTCTTTCGTACCTCCGCTCCCCTGGGGAGGGGTACCTGCTAGATCGGCGGGGATCTTCCTTGTCCCTCCCTCTGCTCTCCTCCTCCATCCGTCTATCTTTGGGGTACCTGTTACTGTCATCCCTCCTGTCCCGGGGGGAGGGGTCTCTACGACTCCTCTGGTACTGGGACCCTGACCTTCAATGAGAGAAGTAATCACTTAAATGAATAATTTCTAACAAACACAATATTTCTTAGTGAAGTAGAGTGTTGATCTGTTTTGCACATTTCCTCAGTCTTTTCAATACAGTTGACATAAATTTGCTTGAATCTAATAGTCTTGAAAATTTGAAATAAACATCTTAGCATTACATACATGCAATTCTTTTGGTATCTTAACTTTTTTTTGTTAAAATCTGAAGACTGAAAATATTTTCTTTTTCAAGCTTTAAGCTCCACATCATTTCTAAGTTTGAACATCATAATAAAATTAGCACCTGTCAAACTTTACCCTAACTGACTATTTTCCATTACCTCATAGACTCTGAGGGTGAGTACTCCTTCCTACTGTAGGACTCCTGGGCCTTCATCCCCTGCTCCGGGGAGGGGCTCCTCCTCCTCTCCTTGACCGGGGTACTGGGCCCCCTCCTGTCCTGCGACTTGTACTGCTTGGACCGACCATCCCCGTACTCCTTAGGGGACCCCCTTGACTGCTCCATCTCATCTCGTCTTGAGTTCCTCTGATCCCGATGTTCTGGGGGTGGATCATACTTTTTAGTCGGTGATTGCTTCTCTCCTCTGGAATACATCTCTGAGTCACTGTTTGACATGTAATCTTTTTCGGAATCTTTCTGTTTCTTTTTCTGGTCCTTTTTGCCCTTCTTTTTACCCCCCTTTGGATCCCCATGATCTGGGGAGGGTGACCGTTCCTTCTTTACCTCCCTTGGTTCCGGGGAGAGTTCCTTTAACCTCCCCTTTTTGTGTTTTTTCATATAATTCTCATACTCTAACTGCTGCCTAATGGCCTTCTTTCCCTTCATGCTCATGGGAGACTTCCCTTGCTGCTGGGCCAAAAACTTCTCGTACTCATCAGGTGACCTCCTTGACCTTTCATAATCAGCAGACGGTGACCTTGACCTTGACACTGACCGAGAGGGTGAGCGGGACCAAGGTGACAATTTTCTTGTAGCTGCTTTCTTTGCGAGTTCGTCCTCATATTCCTCTTCTGACTGGAAACTCAGGATGGGTTTCTCAGAAGTCTTTGACTTGATGCTTTTGATTTTGAATTTTTTCATTTTCATTTCCTGGTCCTCCTCATCTGAGAATTCTGAATGTTTCTTTTCCAAAGACTTCTTCTTCTTGTGCTTCTTCTTTGGGGAATCTTGGTCCTCATTTCTAAAAAAGAATATGCTACTTTCAAAACTTTTGTACATGTGACCATATTCCCTAAGAAATATATTTTGAGTAATTTTTATAAAACATTTTTCTCAGTAAAGAAGTTTAGATCTGTCACTTTTATGCTGATTGAAAATATTTAGTACAAAAAAAAAAAAGAAAACAAAAAAACTAAAAGGTGACCTCTTTCTGACCCCTGGACTTGGTGACCTTATGTCCTTAGACTTGGGAGATTTCATCTTATGTTTCTTCTCTTTTTTCTTCTTACTGAAAAAAATTAATCACAAAATGCTTGTTAAAAACAGGGGAGATACCTTTTAACATGTATTTTTGTCAAATTTATTTGCGAGCATTTTAAAATCTTAAAAAAGAAATAAATAAAATTAATATGCAAAATATTGCCATTTAATGGCAATATTTTGCATACTAATAGTTGATTTTCATACACATGTACATAACATATATACTAATAGTTGATTTTCATACACATGTACATAACATATATAACTTAAATAAACACTTTGTTTTGTCATAGAATATTTTTTAACATTGGTATGAAAATTATCATTTACAAAAAGCATACAAACTTGTATTGCAGAAATGACTGGAAAAATTTGAGGTTTACCTTGGCGACTTGGACTTCTTGTACTTCAGTTCAGGGCTATCCATTTCGTCTTCACTGCTGCTCAGCTACAAAAATAAATTATATACAATGTATAATCGAACCAAAAGTCTCAAGGCTGCTAGGCTTGTTTAAGATAACTTATCAACATCATAGAATGTAGCTTTTCTTGTTTTCATCCCAAATTCAGACTGATCAAGACTTTTGCTGAGACAATTACTTACAGATAAAAAAAAAAAGTTAAAATAATTCTAGAAAAATTGAGATTTTGGAAAGATGACAAAAATTTAATTAAAGCATCAGAGAACTTAAAAGTTTTGTGCAATGGGCATCAGTGTATATGTGATGTGATGACTCTGTGAAACAAATGGCACTGCTTTCTTATTTTAAATATAATTGAAAATGTTCTATTCTACCCTATTGCCTGATAGTTTAAAACAATTGAAATGTGCTTTCCAAAACTAGCCAACGAAAAATGCTTACAAGTTATATGAAAATACCAATATAATACCATATTATATATGATAAATCATAAAGTCTTTTTGATGTAAAATAATGGTTTAATCATGCAGAAAAGATCTTTTATGCATATCTTTTCAGCACTATTTGAACAGTCACTCCATTTATATTTCATTTCTCTCACAATATCTGTGATCTCTGTTTATGCAGTAGATAACCTGCTGAATTTGACATTGTTTTGCTTCATTGCACAATATCTCCATCCTTTACATCACAACACTATTGCAGTATTACTTGATTTAATTTGCTTTATCACATGCTATATTACAGTTCCCTACTCTCTGCTAATTTCATTGTTTATGCATATATAATTTACATTCAATGATCCTACTTTCTCTTTGAATGCCTTACTTTCCTTTGAATGGTGAAATGACAGTGACCCCCAATCCCTGCTAATTTCTTTGTTTATGCACATGATGCATGTAATTTACATTTCTACAACCTACTTTCTCTTTTACAGCCTTACTTTTTTTTGGATGGTGATATTCTCCCTGGCCTCTTCCTGATTTAGCTGACGTAGTGCGTTCTGTATCTGTTGTCTCTGTCGCTCCAACTCTAGTTCCTTCTTGTAATCTAAATCTAAAACAATGATTTTCATGGACACGCTTTATAGGAAAAGTTATTTCCTGAAAACCAAGAGTATACAGTTCACAAGGAAATACCCTATTTCTAATTTGAAACGGTAATGGAAGAGCTTCATAAAAGTGGAATTTCCCATGGTCTATATTTAGATTTGTATGTATACCTTTATATAAGAGCAAACTGAAAGTAAAATGTTGAATCTATGATTGTTTATGCATTTACACATGCTTGTTAAGTGCATTATAATGGAATGACATAATTAGGTAATTGGACAATAAAAGTTGGATACAAAGATAGTAAGATCCTGTGGTTTTCATTTGAAGATTATGAAAGAATTCTATTCTATAATATCCCTCTAAAGCATAATCAATAGATTAAATGGAATTAAGTAAATTGCATGTGATTTGTTTTGTTTTCATTTTTGTTCTGTACTAAATTTTCCTGTTGATTTTATCTCCAGCTCAGTGTTAAATATATCTAAGTCAGTTTCTAAATACCTGTTCAAATTACATGTTTACAACTGGAATAAAAATCTTGGGACATATCCCCCTCAAGTAGATTAACTTGGGAGTATTGATAATTAGGAATGTGTCTTATTCTTTCTAAATATTTGTTATTTAATAATAGTCTAGTATGCTAACAGTAAAAGACTAAACTTCAACAAAAATACTGATTTTCTTTTTAATACTGTCTAAATCATTGTTAAATAGAGCTCATCTGATTGAAAATTAATGAAACAGAATGTTGTAAACTTCCTTAAGCTTAAAGAGTTGACAATTTGGCATGTTTTCTTTCTGAAGATGCAGTCCAACTTCCCATGAATTACTGAGATGACATTCTGTCAAGTTGTATTTTCCCACTGAGATACAGAGCTGACAAGCTATCAGCTATTCTTTGGATTACCATATTTACAATGTATGAATTAGCAACTCTTCCTGCTTTTCATTGGATTATTAGCAAATTACCTTCTCTCTGCTATTTGTTGGATTATTTCTGTTATTCCTGGTATTATCTATAACTCACCTGCTCTGTCCTGCTGCGGCGCCCGTTCCTGCTCCCAGCTATCGGACGTGTCACTGTCGCTCTCCTGTGTCGCTGCCTTCTTCTTACTGACAATAGATCGGATCTTCTCCTTCTTTGTCTTGCTGCGAGACCGGTGGTCGGAATCGGAATCGCTTTCCTCGACCTCCTTCTTGTAATGTTTCTGACGTGATCTGGGCTTCTCAGGACTTTCCTCAACCCTGAAATGTACATGTATGCGTTATGATTAACTTTTTATAAAAAAAAAATTTTTACCCTTCATTTCAATCAAAATTTGTCATTGAGACTAAATTTAAATAGGTTTGGAATTAATATAAAGTTTTTAAGTTAAAGGCATAGCATAAATTGATTGAATTCTTCTTCCTTATGATTTAAAGTCTTGGAAAAATGTTTCTAAATTGGTTTTCAAGCCTAAGATAAGAATTTAATTCAAAATGTTGCCTTTATGTGTATATAGGCATAAAGATGAAAACATTTCACATTTCAGAAAATCAATACATTGAAAGTTTAACAAAATTATTTCAATTTAATCCTTTAAAACAAGCATTTATATAAGATTTTATTTTCCTGAGAAGTGTGAATATGTGTTTACTCAGGCCAAAATAAAATTATAGTTTGTTTGGAATTGCCTCCCGCCTCATTGAAATGCCCCCTCCTGAAAAAATTTTATTGACCAAAATTAGGAAGATTTTTTTTTTCTTTAATCAATTTTTTTGCCCATTTACATGTATCACATGCACCATGCAAAAAACTTAAATATAGTGTCAGATCTATGTAAAATCGGGGTTTATTTGTTGATGGTAGATACTTTTTTTAAAAGTCAGAAAATGTATTTACTATTTACTGAGATTTTTATCAAAAATTCAAAATATATCTTCAATTTCAAAAAAAAAAAAAATAATTTCCCTCCCTCCCTCCTGTGTCTGAAACCTTTCAGGCGGCAATTCCAAACAAACATTTTTTTAAGGATGGCCTCAGGTAATTAAAAGGATATTGATTTCTACAAGAAAAATTTCCACCTAAAGATTTACCTTGATTTCTTGTAGGGTGGACCGTGTTGAAATTTACAGCTGCTTCCAAATGCACACTCTCCGTTCAGTAACCAATGTCGGCACTTAGTGTTGTGATATGAAGATTCTCCGCGCTACAATGAAAGTTTCAAATTTCATCCAGAGATAAAATTAACCTGAAATCAAAATTAATTTCGTCCTCACTATGAACTTGATCCTATGCAACTTTTTGTTTTTAATCATTACTTCTTTGAAATAACATTTTGATTCTGAGAGAAAAAACTTTTAATCCTTAAGAACTTGCATCACTATGCTGATAGAGGTGCTAAAGTAGGTACACATACATATCAAAGAGATAATATAATAAATCCTTATGAAATATTTAGGTTTTTCACTGTTACATTATTATTTCATACAAATATCACAAGACAACAGCGACAAGTAGTAAACAATCATCACACACAATACCCTACATACAATAATCATCAACTTGTTTTCAAACTTGTGCTCTTGTTTACACGTATCTGCCTTTAAAGCTACCTGATACATCATTGCATGTTAAGAATTGTGATTTCATTGGTTCTCTGATGGCAATGTACATGCACTATTTTGCACCTATACAACAAATACCTCTACTATCTGATATCTAAGTGGCTCTTTATGATACGTACTTTTCTATGTAACAAAGTAAAGGCGAGAAGATAATTCTAACTTGGTGCATTTAATAATTCAGAGAGTTCCGAATGGATACATGGTGTTTAAATTTGAAGTGAGAAAAAACGTTCAGAAATTAGTTGAATTTTCATCTTGATGTGGATTCAGCATTTTTCCCCCCTTATATAATTGGTACCGATAAACATTTCCCAAAACATTAATTTTTCCCAATTTTGTGACCAAAAATTCCCTATTCAACTGTGAAGCAACAGACTACGACGACACATTATTTCTTTTTGAATAAAACACTGTACAAGTCGTACAACATGGGACATTGATAAAAAAAATTCTCATTGTTCTAGATCTACAACGATGTTATTTTTCCCAATTGAACCGATGGGATTACACTTTAGGATAAAAGCCATATACAGTCTCAAAAGGATTGTCATTATTTTTAGGTAGTTATTTTCAGTGTAACTTTTTATCCTCTTCAAAATTATTTCGCAGCAGACCTGATCTACTACATAGCAACTATTTGGGGAAACTGTGAGGAAACTGGAAGGCTTTCTGAACAAAGCTAGATTATTCTAATTAGTAGGAGATCAACTAAAAGTAAGTCTTATCTGCACAATAAATAAATTGTGTGTAGTAAGGCACATTTTAGCAATGCAATATCAGCAAGGTCAATGGCCTAATATTAAATAGGATTTTCAAAAAGCGTTTCTACAATATGGCTACTGAATATTTTTTGGCCAAACAGTTTAGGGATTTCTTGTAAGGTATGCTACGAATGATGCTAACACTCGAGTATGTTAAATTCAATGATGATAATTTTTACATCGTCTAGTTGTTTTCGAGCTCCGGGACCAAGCCTTTCAAAAACACTTGGTTTGCGTCTATCTCCCTCATCCGAGACAGACTTAGCAGAATCAACTGTTACTCTTCTCTTAATTTTGCTCATTTCACAACACCACAATACATGAAAATGGAATGCAAGCAAGTTTTCTATCACATCGATATTTCCACCCGTACATTCGACGCCATCTTGAATTTTACAGCCTAGTCACAAAACCAAAGGCGCATCGGAAATAATTATTCCGGGAGTGTTTGGCAATGGAAGTGTGTGTCGATTCTGTGCTATCCGCCATAAATGCAGAGAAAGGAGGTAATTTTACATTTAAATGACATATGTTATGTGTTATCATTAACATTCCACTCGAGAGTAAATAATATTTTACCCGCTTCAACCATTTGCAGGCGCCATACGCGTGGAGCTTTGTGCCAATCTGTCAGAAGGGGGGACAACTCCTACCTCGGGTAATGGAAAATGTGTAAGAAATATTTTCAAATGCATTTCAGTAAATAATTGAAGTGTCTACAGATGTAAATTCTATTAAAATTACAAGTTTATGAGTCAGTGAAAATAATATAAGTAAAACTGCAAGTAGGAAGGAAACTAATCAAATTAATTTTTATATCAGTTAAATTAATTTAAAGTCACGTACTATGGCATATTTTTGATAAGTTCAGCTAACTAAAATTAAATAGATCTTTCTATTTGGTTTGTTTCTTTATAATAAGCTAAGACTCTCCTGTAAATTTCACATTTTAATCAATCGCTTTTCACAATAAGAGATTGAAAACAAATAGATGGATTTTTTACCGACTCGGAATTCAATATCAGACACAATTTAAAGTCAATTTAACAATAGAAACATTAGATATTTAAAATCAGTGAAAATTTTAATTTGAACATTAATATCGTGTTATAATCTACACTTAATCTTGTATTTTTGTTTTTTAGTTTGGATATATATATCAAATTGACTTAATATGAGCAAATTATTATAGTCAGCTACTCTAAAAAGATTGTAAAATTAAATGTTGTCAGAATTGAAACATTATCAAGAACAACTACAAATTTTTCATCATTCTGTAACTAAAATTATAAAGTGTCATCTTCATTTGGTAATTTTTTTTTTTTGAAAATCAAGACATATTTTCCCCTGTGGCTTTATCAATTTATTGTGCATGAATTTTACAAACAGGAATGTTGAGGACTATAAAGAAGTATGTAAAGATTCCAGTGTTTGTGATGATAAGACCCAGAGGAGGTGACTTCCTGTACAGTCCAGAGGAGGTCGAGGTCATGGAGGCAGAAGTGGTGGATCTCAAACGAGCGGGAGCAGACGGTTTTGTATTTGGCTTCCTGAAAGAGTATGTTGTACTGTAGATTCTATTTAATATGTTTAACTGTTTATTTGCAAGTAATATGAAATAGCTTTAACTAATCCCTGCCATGGAATAGATAAATTAATGAGAATCAAAATTCTAAAATATTTTTTTTCATTATTTCAGAATAAGAGGATTTATTGTTTACTATAAATATTTTGTTTTTGTTTGAAATTCAGGGATGGTACTGTTGACAAGGAGTTGTGTTCAAAATTCTTGGGTAAAAATTTTATATAAATCAAGTATACATAAATGTGAACTAATGTCATTTGTTAAGAGTTATTTTACAGAACTGAAAAAAAAAACTTAATAAATTTTGTTGTCTTTTTGTCAGAATTAACCAAGCCGTTGCCAGCAACATTTCATAGAGGTAAGAAAAAAGTTATTAAGGGAAAAATTAAAGCTTAAACAGTTTTATTATGGGATTCAAAATCAGACTGTATTTCCAGTATTTATAGTTTATGTTTTGTAATCTTAACAGCTATAGATATGACAAGTGACATTCTCCAGGCTTTGGATGATGTGGTGGATCTAGGATTTCAGCGGGTGTTGACCAGTGGAGGATCCTCTTCTGCTTTAGAGGGATTACCCATAATTCAGCAGATGGTTTTAAAGGTATATTTTCCTTTGCTCCTGTTCAACAGTTAAGTGATGTTTTAGTACCAATTTATCACTGAAAATCTTATTTCTTGCCTATATTCTGAAATACTTTGACTCACTGTGTACAGTAAATCCAAAGAAACCCAATCCCTAATTAACTCTTTCATTGTCTACACTGTTTTAACCAAGTTTCATATTAATTGATAACATGATTTATGTTTTTCCATCAAGTTAAGTAATATTTTGATACAATTTTTTTCGTTGATTTTTAAATATAACAAACCCATTTGTTTAATTTTTCAGGCTGACAACAGAATTTGTGTGATGCCAGGTAAGCAGGAAAACTGTAAAGAAGGTTTTAGTCTTGGTGCTAATATTTTCTTTGTCATAGATATACTGTATACAGGGTTGTTTTCACCCTGCTTTATATTCGCCCTTTCACACTTGCAAACTTTATTTGTCTTGGTTATTACACGTGTAATGCAAACAGCAAAAAAAGAACCTTGCCATTGAACTTGTGCACCATGGAAATGGTTTACAGAGGTAAAAATTATCCAAGATTGTTTGAACTTCATTAACAAACTGTATTCCTTTCCAGGTGGAGGTATTAACTCAGGAAACTTGGACAGAATTTTAGACGGTTGTGGAGCTAAAGAATTCCATGCCTCAGCACGATCAACTGTCCACTCCAGAATGCAGTTCAGAAAAGAGGGCATCTCCATGGGAGCTTCTCTGTGTCCTCCAGAATTCAGTGTCAAGGTCACAGACAAGGTCAAGGTTCAGAATCTTGTACAAAAACAGCAAAGTAATAAAAAGTGACAAAAGATATTATGTAGTCAATTATTTTTACAATATTTCAAAGATATGTATGTAGGACAATGATCATTTTTAATTAGGCAAACAATAAAAAAATTATTCATTTGATGCACTTTGACTGATCCTGAGAAACCGGGAAACCGGATTCATTACTTTTCATATGCAGGAAATCCCTATTCTTAAAAAATACATGTGTATTAAATTATTAGACATGACTTTCTTTGAATTTCCATGTATTTGATTGGTTAAACTTTGCAGCTGAGTAAGGATATAGATAAATGCAGTTTTCTTCTGACTTTCTTTCTCATTTGCTAACTCAAGAGAATTGTATATCAGAAATTAGGGATTTTGTTGTCCTATAAATTCTGTAAGCGAAAGTTACGTATAACCTAACAAGTCTGAAGGTTATAGTTGAATGCCATTCCATTTGAAAAATACTAGAAAAGAAATAGAGCAATTCCTTTATTTTATTTTATTAGTAAATAAAACAACTGAATCACTATGCCATAATTTACAAATCATGTACAGAAAAGGTCAACCTTTCTTGTAAATATGAAAGGTTTATCTATCCTAAAGCTAACATAATAATGCAGGTGCTTGAGCAGGCACTAAATAAAAAAAATAAGAAATATTGTAAATAGAGAATTTTAAATGAAATATTGTGCATGTGATTTTTTAATTATTTCTGTCTCGTAAAATTATAAATAAGGGTACATTTAATTTTTACTTATGAAAGGTTCTTGGATAAATTACAATTCAATTCTTATAGATATTTATCAATGCAATTTGTAGCACAAGGCTATAGAAAAGTGTTGTAATGTCTGCAAGCATGCAGGCCTAATATCAGTGGATAATTTCAGTATAAATAGGTTGTCAATATAAACATATCTGTCAGAACCATGTTTCACTGTATCACAGTCTTATTAACAAATGATGATTGAATAAGATTAATACATATATTTTAAGCATTGACATGAAAGGTAGAAATAAAATTGTTCTACAGAAAAAGAAATACAGAGATTTGTCCATAAATGGTCATAGTGTACATGTACGAGGGTTGTCCCGTAAAATCGTGGACAAAGCGTTTTTCTCGAAAAGTAATGGGCGCACTAAGCTGAAAATTTCAGTAAGTGTTTATTTATCATATTTACGTGCATGATAATTTTTTTGATAATATATGGGCAAAAATAAAGATTTTATTATGCTTGAATGTGCACAAGGTATTGTCCTACGGCGCACGGTCAAAAAACCAAGGTTTTATTAAAGAATACACAAGTTTGAATTCAAAATAAATGTTTTAAATACATAAGATTTGGATTAAAATTATCCTAATTTAATTCCACAATCAATTTTGTAGTCTTTGTAAAAATTTTAAGGCATTTGGTTAATTTTTGGCAGTTTCTCGAGCATTCGAAATGGGAAAGTGGGAAACACAACACACGAAAAATGGCGACGCTTTATGACGTTACGGCGCACCGGAGAACAGTTCAGTTTTATTTCGATGTTGTAATGACACCTTTAGAGACTTGAAATGACCATAGAAGAAAAAAGATTATAAAAATATCACCATATCTTAAGTATACAAATGAAATAGGAGTTTTTTCTGATTGACTCCCTGGGGAGTACAAAACATACGGACAAACTCCTAATGTAATAGCAAAAGACGCTGTCACAGTAGACCGCCGATATGAGATTTTCTATTAGTTGAATGATGGTGAGAATATTGTCCTTAACTTACTAATAAATCTTCAGAAGATCACATGAGGGTGCCAATTGTTCTTCGACTGTTTATTGAGACTAAAGAATGTGTATCAATGAAATTCCTAAATTTAAGTCGGATTCATCCAACTTCATTTTCAGCAAAGATAAAACGTGAAGCTGTTTTAGACACTTTGACGTTATAATCCATGCGCCGTAAGGTGATACAATACATGGCATAAAGTCTCATAATTTGTTTATTTATGCGTATATTTATCTGAAATTTGCTGTGTATATTACTAAAATATGTACTAAATAATAGTGAAAATTTCAGAACGCAGTGACGTTTATTTTTTACACTAGACAACTTGTCCACGATTTTACGGGACAACCCTCGTAATAAACAGTACTTGTATAACATTTAAGGATAAGCATTTAATGTAAACATAAGAGGATTTTCTTCAAACGGAAACCAATCTTTGCTTACCTGTAATTTACTAATTAATTTTCTCAACAAAGATAATTAATATTTTAAATATAGATATGAAAAGTCTTGACACAAGGTATCTAATCACACAGGTACAAGTACAAAAATATCTCCAACTAATATCACATATATAGTCACCATGGAAATAGAGACTAGATTAGAGGAACTCGGTAATTAATTTAGAAAGCACATTATCTGCAGACTTGCTGACCACTGGCTCCAGCGATTGTAATAATTATAGATTTATTGTACATCTGTCTGAAACCCTGCCTGTATATAAAGGCAAATCAAATAAAACTTTAAGAAATAAATTTGTGAAACATCACTGAATCCAATAATTTTTTTTTTTTAATGACGGCCCTCTTGGTATTGAACTTTGTATAGTGTAAAATGCATTTTTATTTAACTTTGTGTAGAACGTAATTTTCAAATTAAAGTTAAACTGGAAGATGCTCCTTTATTCACCCCCTTCCTGATTCCCAGATTCCTCCTTTGTTTCCTGTGTATCCTCTGTAGCTTCCTGGTTTCCTTGAGATTCCTCTACTGCTGTCTGATTTCCTTCTGTTTCCTCTGTACTTTCCTTTGCTTTTTCTGTTGTTTCCTCTTTCACTTCCTCATTTTCTGCTGCTTTTTCCTCAGTTTCCTCTTTTGCTTCTTGATTTTCTTCTGTCACCTCCTGACTTTCCTCTGTCACCTCCTGACTTTCCTCTGTTTCCTCCTGCTTTTCTTCCACAACTTCCTGGTTTTCCTCTGTCACCTCCTGATTTTCTTCTGCTTTCTCTTCAGATTCCTCGTTCATCTCCTGGACGTCCTCTGTCACCTCCTGAGTTTCCTCTGTCACTTCCTGGGTTTCCTCTGTTTCCTCCTGCTTCTCTTCTTCCACCTCCTGGTTTTCCTCTGTCACTTTCTGTGTTTCCTCTTCTGCTGTTTCCTGGTTTCCTTCCTCTTCTGCTGTTTCTTCTACTTCCTGGTTGGCATCCTCAATTTGTTCGTCATCAGAGTAGAAACAGGTACTTAGTTCTACAACAGTTATTTATACTTAACAATGAACTTACATCTCAAAGAATTGGTGTTCTCATAATTTTTTTTCACAAAACTGATGTAAAGTTACTAAAATGAATTTACCTTGGACACCCCCCCCCCATGCATCTTGCGATGTGCATCTTAAGAAAATTAACATAAGCTTGTCATATACCCATCCAGCACACGCATACACGCCAGAATATAAGTTCTTCAGATTTTTAAAAGTATTTCTATTTTACTAGCCTGTCACAAAATGTCTGAAATGCATATGTTAAAATTTTATAAATTTTGTTTTCATGTTTATCACCACACCCCCTTCTCCCCCGTTCAAAAAAAATCTTTCTTTTTGATTGATTTCTTAATTCTATTTATCGGTTTTACCTGTTTTGGCAATAGCACCATCCTTATTACTGTCGAATTGGGTCAGCATCATGCGTGCGTATGTCCTCTCCGTCTCGTCGAACTGTTCGCCGAGTTCGGAGAGTTTCTCCAGGAGTTCGTCTATATTGACCGCATCCTGTCCGGGAAATAGAATGTCCAGACTCTCCATTAGCGAGTCCCGCATCTGGGGCTTGGACTTGATTCGGTCCTGGATCCATTCGTGAAACTCTTCTTGATTTAACTGAGAATTTTCTGCAAGAATGAATGAAATGGTTTTTCAAGCTGTGCATATGTACACGTACAAGTAAATAATAAAAAAAAAATAATTAAGATTCTCTGCATGTTATACACGTATGTGATGTGTCTTAAAATGCAATCCACTTTGAGTATAAAACGGAGAAAGTGACACATTTTTACATTTCTTGAGAATTAAGAAGTTGAAAATGTGAAAAGTTAATTTACAGATAGGTAGGTAGACACACACTGAGAGACGGACAGAATTGTTTCAGAGAAAAACTCGCTCGAGCTCACGTGAACACGTATCACGGCGTTTTGTTTGTTAAAAAATCTCACATCTTTTAAGGACCAATGCATGAATACATGCGTTTTCTCTCAAATTTTACCAATGATATTTTTTGCCCTGCACTGAATCAATTTAAAAGTCAAGTATTTAGACTGCTGTAATATGTCGTAGCATTTAATGCCGATTAAGCTCAATGAAGGATGGCAAAAATCAAGCTGTTTTTCATTATTGATCTGAAAATCGACCTGAAAGACCGTAAGATTTTCATAGCCAAAATTTGAATGCTTTTGGTTTTATTTCAATTGAAAAAAGGATTGACCTATACGCACAGCTAGGGGGTAGTTTGTCAATGTAGAATCTATCTCATATTTAAATTGAAATAACTATTTCGATAAAAAAAATAATTTCATTAAATTTAAAGGGGAAAAATTGACGAAGATTTGACAAATATTAAGGTAAACTAAAATATACCATCTTTATCGTGTTCGGCGAAGATCTCATCTACGACACATTGCGGTGGATCCGCCCCCAGACATTGTAAAACTCTCTTAAACCCCTCCTTGTCCAGAAAACCGTCCGTGGCGAAGCGGTCAAAATACTGCTGGTAGCCTGAAATATACAGTAAATCAGATCTTATAAGCTAGTACTTCACATTTAATCCGAATTACTAGTATCATCCATTTAGTAAATCAATCATCTTGTACGTCTATAGATCTCCAATATCACATTTAATACAAATTATCAACCATTTAATAAATCAATTAAACGAAATTCATAGAACTGACATTGTTGTGTAATATAATGACATATAAATAAGATCTTTTTCCCATTTTAAGAAGTGGTTTAATTGGGTTAATATTTTTGTAGAGCTAAGTATCAATAATGAGATAAAACGTAATCATGTCAGTATTCAAAAGAGAGGGGAGGGTGTTATTGCGTATATGTTGTACAAAATAGGGAGTTTAAAGACCTAGCAAAAATCTTAAGTCTGGTACAAACAACATTTCAATATTAACAGCGGTAATATTGTCAACAAAATCATAACGCCTCTAAAGCAAACACAGGGGTGTACTTTTAAACCATCAATACTCAAAATCTTTACAAGTCTGAATTCAGAAACTTTGGATCAAAGATACAGATCACAACATTGTTTAATAAAATATAAGATAATATTTTAATATTTCGTGTATTTTTACCAATACAACATTTGTTTGGGGGATACTGAAATATATTAAAAATATCTACTTATGTTGTTAAGTGTTAAAACTTTTTGAAAATTTATTATTTATTGACATAGGGTCGTATATCTATCGTTGAGAGTACTCTAAACAAAACTGGAAGACTTACTGGCTTTTTCGACTTCACCCTGAAAATAAAATAAAAGTACAATTTAAAATTTCAGACTTTATGAATTAAATAATAAAAGTCATGTGCTCATTCAATAGAATTTAAAGAATATGACTAACTTTATGATGCACATACATACAATCATGGATCGTAAACTTGGAGGTATTATTGTAAAAATTGATCAGACTGGGTTATAAAGGCATCGATCAGCTAAACTTGAGCATTTTAAACCGAATCTCGATAATAAACCGTCATCGAAATTTATAAAGGAGGGTAGGTTTGGACAGTTTATGGTTGTATTTCACTCACGAAAGACACGGGGATAAATTTACGGGAATAAATTTGGTGGTTTTTTTGTAATTGCTTGAAAGAAATCCCGCTTCAGGGTGGATTGATATCAAACGATCGAGAGAATCTTCTGTCGATTAAAGGACATTTAATCACGTAATTTCAAAGCATTTAATGCATTACAGAATAAGTAGAATGTAAAGAATTTGATGTGTACACAGGTTGATTAATTTATGTAAAAATTTAAGGTAGAAAAGCAACAAACAAAAGCAGCAAGGCGCGATTTTCTATAGAAAAATTCATCTCTTTTAATAATATATTTATGTTATATTTTATTTAATAATTTTCATTTAATTAAACATGTTTTTCAAGCATCTTGGCGCTTAAAGAATTACTTCTTTTTTTGAAATTTGTCAAAAACAAAAACTATAAAGAACATAATCTTTAGTGTTGAGAAATAAACTAAATCCTTAAAAGCAAAATAATTTGATTTACGAAGTCGATCTAAAGAAAGATGTAGATCAACATGCTCAAACAACAATCGTCTATTTAAATTTCTACTTAATAACCATCACTAACTCGTATCTAAGATCGAGATGTCGCCGGTAAAATAAAAATCGCGTCAAAATCCAAGAAATGAACAAGCACGGTTTAATAAAACAATGTCGTTGCTATGGAAAACAAGTGAAAAGATTTATAAATCTACTTACCATGTTAATTTTTCTCCTTATCGAGGATATTCCTAACGACTGCTAGGGCCCAAACTGTTTGTTTACAACAACCATACACAAGGTATAGAAGGGAATAAGATTGCGATTTAAACCGACTTTTCTATCATATCTTAGGTTTCGCGCCATTAGCTCTCTTTTAAAGTTCAAAGTAAATACAACGTAAAGGGAAAATTTTAAGTTGTAAGCAATTGACATCAGACAGATTTAAAAATCAAAATCCGATTTTCTTTTTTTTCATCCCTGAAGGAGTTGGGAAGGGGATTGTGCATGTGTGAGCTGGGGGGGGGGGGGTAGGAAAGGGTTCAACACGGTGAACTTTGAGTATGCCTTGATTTTCCATTAACGCCCCTAGTTACCCACAGCAGTTTTCACCCGATGAGTTTTAAATACCACATCTACCTAAACATGAATGGATTAAAAATATTTAAAAAGGAAATTTTCAGCTCGTTTGAACAGTCCTTGAAGCAGCATAAATCTTTACTTATTGTTAAATTATTCATTCGAGTACTCGTATCCTCGCTTGTCGAGAAGACTTCATTATAACTTGCAGGGGGTCGTTGTCTGTGCATGAAAGAGCTTAAGAGGTAAATTCATATTAAAGGATTTTGATTGTGGGGAATATTGGAAAATAAGTGTCTGAAGTGTGAGAACTCTATTCAAAAAGTTACCCGTTGCGCTCCGAAGGAAAAATGCTGTCCGAAAAGTGTAAAACGTTAACGTTAAATAAAGAAAGTATTACCCAGCGAATTCTCGAAAGAATAAAAAAAACATCAATAGGATTGAAAGTTTAAAAAATAAATACAAATTTTTCATTGATTTGGATCAATAATGGACCGTGTTTCTAACAAATCAAATTCAAATACAGTTGAACTTCCATATCTCGAACATCGATATTTCGAATACCATGGATAAACTGCTTTGTTTCGATATTTCGTACATCGAAATTTCGAATACATGTACCTTGGATAATTCGAAATGATGTGAAAGTGCGTTCTCTATTCAATTTTAACAACAGTGTTTCAAAACCTTAGATATATTCAATCTTTTTGAATTCGAGATCACGAATTTTGACAGTGGGTTTACTGTAAATTTTATTTTTACAGTGTAGCAGCCTACCACCGCACTGCAAATTCAGAATATACAACGTGACAAACATTGCATGTATTCCTCACTGAAAAGACTATGTAGCATTTACAGCATATACCTGTCCATATATGTATGAGGTATCCGTATAAATCTTTCCCAAAAAAGCTTAAACATGTCTGACATCGTACCCACCATCAATATTTTTGTTGAAGGGGGGGGGGTGTCAACATCAACCTTTTAGTTGTCAGATTCTGGGATCTGTTACAAACAGTAATAGTCAGTCTCCGCAAACTTCTAAACGTCATTTCGTGAAAGGGGAAAAAAGAGAGGACACTTTTCAAATGCTATTATCTTCAGATGTGCGCATGATCTTTCTGTTTTTAAGAGGAATCTATGTTTTTCGGGGGTGGGGGGTGGGGTTAAAAAGTATTTTCAACTCAATGTGAATCTGTTCGTGAATGTATGTTCGTGTAATTTTCATTTTAAATTTTTTCTTACTTTAACGAGGCTTCTCTTTAAGACCACAAATCGCTGGAAAATCTAAAGGATTTCTTTCATGTGTAAATGAAGATATTGAATCACTCGTTTGAAGGAATCTTCAGACACATTATATGTGTAATTTATCAAAACTAGTTGATAAAAATGATTCTCGTCTCTAACAAACTTACACAAAACACCCGCAAAGATGACAATACATGTTCAATGTGGCCCTTTAAAAACTTTCTCTTCTACAGATAAGAGTCAGGACCCACAGGGACAGAATATTTTGAAATGAAATAATTTTCCCCGCTGATAACTTTTCATTAAAACCTCCGATAGCATTTAATAACAAAGGCCTTAAAACCCTGTCCTAAGGTAGACTTACTGCTTATAAATCCCTGATATTATTCTCAGAATTAAATGTAAACTTTGAAACAATCCCGGGGATGAGAAATAATTGACTTCGTAGGCGGTAGTCTTTATTCCACTGATCTAAGTAAACATTCTTAAAAATTAAGTTTTATATTGAAGTTAAGTGACGTTTAAAAAAAATCTTAGCATGTAAACGTATTCAAGAGAATATATTAGTTGGAGTAGTTCAAGTACCCAGGGTTTTCACGAGATCGAAAGTTCATGTTTTGCCAGTTTTAAAACGGACTAACATTTTTATAAGAGGAAAAGAGAAGTATGTCAAAAGGCACGTGCATAACTGTAGAAGGGGTCTGGACAGTACCCCATATTATTCCCCTTCCTTAATTTCTTAAAAACTAATCTACAACTACTATTGTCACAGTACTGAAACTTACACTAGAAGTTTAAAAAAACAGTATGCATGCATGATGTCTGTTAAAATTGAGATGTAAGGTTTTAGTAAATGAAATGTAAATGAAATAAAGTGTAATGTGGGGTAGATATATTTCCCCAAATAAGAATTTGCATGCCCCATGAATCGAAGAATTGGGGTATAAAGGATTTGTCCTGTCCGTTCGTCTGTTGTCCGCAAAACTTTTAACCTTGGCCATAACTTTTGAGTGGCTGAGAATATAGCTTCATATTTCATAGGTATATTTCTAGTAATTCTTCAAATGTGACTTGATCTTTTAATGGAAGTAAACAAGAGATGTGTGTAATACACTTATGCCCCCTCCCCTAAATAAGTGGAATTTTTCTAAGTCTAAGGGGCATAACTCTTTCATAAATTGCTTGATAGCTAACCTAGATACATGTATTCTTATGATGATATGTTTACCAAATTTCACCCCAGTATATATTTGCAACCTCCTAAAAGAAATTTTCTAATTATAAAGGGGATAACTCTGTCCAAAATGGCCTAATCGTACCCAAAACAGAACTTAAACTAGATATACTTATGATAAATCTGTATACCAATTTTCATTTCAGTATGTGCAATGTCTTCGAAGAAAATGAACAGAAACTTTTGGTGGACCGTCAGACCACCAGACTGCAGCAAAGTACTATGCCATCTCTTCTTCGAAGGGTGCATCAATACTGAACATGAACATAATTTAGCACAGGCAATTGGTATGGAGTTGTTGACATAATAATGAATTAGAAATACACGTTTGTACCGTATACTCCATTTATTGAGGAATTCTTGGTGGTATTCATGAATTAGAGCATACTCGTCTGCGCCAAAACCGCTTAAATATGAAGCCCGCTGTTTTAAGTACACATACAGTATTTGAGCTTTTGATCTTCACCTTGGAGTTTGACCCACGTTTACTTACAAAAGAGAATCAGAGACAAATCACAGCTTTCAATAAAATAAAATATGCTATTTATTCTGAAACTATAAATAAAATTCTTAAATCTTTCTCTTCATTAGTCACCAACAATTCATTTTGATTTTTGTAACTCTTGTCTTTATGTTTGCCTTTAATTTTATTTTGAATACAAGGTATTTTAAATATTCAACAGAAATAAGAAAAGAAACAACATAATTTCAATAAGTCATTAAATTTATTTTTTTAAATATCACTCTTATTATTCATCATTTTTCAACATTTCCTCCTTTTTAAACTAATTTATGAGGAAAATAATTAAAATGAAGAAACTTAGACTAGATTTAAACTTGATATGTTATTCCACAGGTAGGTACAATTAATAATTATTTTTTTTCACATTATTGAAAAGAAAATTTCCCTGAACATAAAATAAATATATATAAATATGTATATATCAACACATATAATTTTCTTTTGATTTCTTTCTTTATAGAAGTCACCTCAACAAAATCAAGATCTAAACGTTTTGGTGTATATAAACATATTTTTAGCATTGGCAAATCCCTTGTGTGAGGAAAGTTGAATCAAAACTTCTATATTCTATTGTTAAATATATCAATTCAAGGAAGCAAAAAATAAGATTGAAAATAAACCAATCGCCCCTAAGCCCTAAATAAAATTAAAAATATGCCTTAAAACATTGCATGTACAAATTTTAAGTATTTAAATGTATAAAAAAAAATACAAAGATTTGAAAAAAAAAGAAATATCATAACATTTTAGAAAAATTAATGGTTTTGATACTATTAATGTTAAACTTACCATCCTTAAAAAATTAATAAATTTAAACAAGGTTTTAAAATTTACACTCAACAATCATGACAAATTAGAAAAATCTTTTCATTTTTAGTAACATATTCATTAACAAACACACTTGACACCCCTTTCTATATATTCTTAGCTCCTTTCATAGAAACAGGAAATATCATAAATACATTAAAAGTTGTAATGTTCAACACTACAGCATATGTCCTTGTAACTCATTAATGTCAGCTGTCGAATCACTTCAAGATTTCTAGGAAAATTTAGGGGAATAATTATTTTTCTATTTAAGGATTTTAAAACTTCCAATGATTCTCCATTGCTGAATGTATGTTATAGCTCAGACAAGAATTTACTGGACTTGCATATCTTTTTCTGCCCTTGACCTTGAACTTGCCAGAAGAACCTGAGGTCAAGGTTGCCTTTAATTTTATTTTGAATACAAGGTATTTTAAATATTCAACAGAAATAAGAAAAGAAACAACATAATTTCAATAAGTCATTAAATTTATTTTTTTAAATATCACTCTTATTATTCATCATTTTTCAACATTTCCTCCTTTTTAAACTAATTTATGAGGAAAATAATTAAAATGAAGAAACTTAGACTAGATTTAAACTTGATATGTTATTCCACAGGTAGGTACAATTAATAATTATTTTTTTTCACATTATTGAAAAGAAAATTTCCCTGAACATAAAATAAATATATATAAATATGTATATATCAACACATATAATTTTCTTTTGATTTCTTTCTTTATAGAAGTCACCTCAACAAAATCAAGAAAATTTTGGTGTATATAAACATATTTTTAGCATTGGCAAATCCCTTGTGTGAGGAAAGTTGAATCAAAACTTCTATATTCTATTGTTAAATATATCAATTCAAGGAAGCAAAAAATAAGATTGAAAATAAACCAATCGCCCCTAAGCCCTAAATAAAATTAAAAATATGCCTTAAAACATTGCATGTACAAATTTTAAGTATTTAAATGTATAAAAAAAAATACAAAGATTTGAAAAAAAAAGAAATATCATAACATTTTAGAAAAATTAATGGTTTTGATACTATTAATGTTAAACTTACCATCCTTAAAAAATTAATAAATTTAAACAAGGTTTTAAAATTTACACTCAACAATCATGACAAATTAGAAAAATCTTTTCATTTTTAGTAACATATTCATTAACAAACACACTTGACACCCCTTTCTATATATTCTTAGCTCCTTTCATAGAAACAGGAAATATCATAAATACATTAAAAGTTGTAATGTTCAACACTACAGCATATGTCCTTGTAACTCATTAATGTCAGCTGTCGAATCACTTCAAGATTTCTAGGAAAAATTAGGGGAATAATTTTTTTTCATTTTAAGGATTTTAAAACTTCCAATGATTCTCCATTGCTGAATGTATGTTATAGCTCAGACAAGAATTTACTGGACTTGCATATCTTTTTCTGCCCTTGACCTTGAACTTGCCAGAAGAACCTGAGGTCAAGGTTCAGACAAACACTCATGTCCAAAGCAATCTTTCTACAGATGGAGCTTGTCATGATTTTTCTTAATATGATAACATAGAAAAGAAATGTCTGAGTTTTTTTTCTGTCAGTAACCTTGAACTTTCTTTGAAGAATGACCTTGAAACAAAGTTATACCAAACAATTCTCTGAATAAATCCTCAAGAGCAGACAACTGTACTTCTTACAAAAAGAAACATTGGAAGACGAAAACTTTATCACATACAAGTTTACAGAACAGTATTATTTCACAATTGCACAAAAAAAATACTCTGAAACATAAATATATTTTATCCTGCAAACAATGCTCAGTTAATCATATGCATATATGTATTCAATATACAATATGAAGATATTGTAAATAAATCAACCAGCACATTAAATGATTAGCAAAAAAAAAACCCCTAACCTCAAAACATTTCACTGATTCTTTGTGTAAGTACTGTATAAATTAAGTAACTATCATACATGTACATGTACAATGTAAGTACCTGGTATATCCTGCAAGAAAATAGAATGGCACATGTAAACAAGTTTTCTTATTTTTGTCATGGACTAGATTATCATTATCATCATAATAAAATATAATCAGCAGTAATGATATGTTCTACAAATACCCCAAAACAAGGTGAATAATCAACAGCCTCCTGGTTCCATAACAACATGGAAAACGAATCACTTTAAAAAAATCTAAAAACCAGTCACAACTGGGGAGAACATGTTCATTTATCAT